GGAGGCATTCTATGTGAAGATTTTACAGGTCCTGCTAACGTTTGGACTGATAGCGGCCAATGTCGTTAACGGTAGCCCCTTACAAAGGCAACTGAAAGAGGGTAAGATAACCAACTGTTCATGTTTCAAAAACTGAATTCGTATTAAAAAACTGCATGGCTAATTGAAATAACAGGAACAACAAAGCCCAGGTTGAAGATAGGCAAACCTTAACTTTAACCATATCGCTGAATGGCTGTTCTCGTCTTTTATCGCCGTGGATTCGATCATAACCTTTTTACGATTTTTTGCAACCATTTCTGCCGGAAATCGACCTCTTTTGCCAAAGAAGTACCCTTTTTCCCTTGTTACAAGATAAACAGAATATTTTAACTGTCCCCAGAGTCTTCTATTTCATGGAGAAAAATTCGCTCTCTTTCGAGTTATCAAATGTAGCTCATTGCTGAAAATGATGTCAACAAGTAGCTATTTTTCGGAGTTCTATGATGAATTACCAGGTACATGAAATACAGCTAATCACTGGCAACTGAGTATTGATTGATTTTCCTTAAATGGTCCCTGTGTAAGAAACTTTTGAGACGGATACAACAATTGATTGAAATGACCTTTTTTTTCTGAAGAGAAATAGGTCAAGAAAAATATTTAAAAACTTTCCATCGGGTTCTTTAAGTATCAACATCTTGGTGAGAGATGGGGTTTTACAAGATTGCTTTACTTTTGTAATATCTCACGACTGACTGGGATTTTGTCTGCATGCAGACGAGCCCGTAGTCAAGTGTGCATACCAAGGTGACAAGTGGGATGTTATAATTATGGTATACCACAACAGAGGCGTCAGATAACTTATTTATTTACATAGCTAAAACAAGAGAGTCACGAAGGCAGATTTCACTCTGAATGACTTCAAGTCTTTTTTTTGTTTGGTTTTTCCAGCAGATAATAAGCAAGATGTCACAGGCAACCGAAAAACTGTTTACCCTGGAAAATGGGTTGACTGCTACATGAAAAACTTTGCGGCAAATGTACCACCAGTAGGTTTGCGTGATCCATTTAATTTCCACATAAAATATATCTGTCAAAAAGATTACCAAGAATACGATGATGGAACCCACTATGGAACAATGTTTGACAAGCAATTTGGAATTCCGGTATACTCGGCTTACACTCTTACGAAAGATAAGGTAGACTTCAAAGAATGGACACGCCCAAAGTGGAAACAAACCGAAGGTATTTGTTCAAGCTTCTGATAGTAAGTTAATTTTACTATGTAGGACTTGTTTAAACTCTGAGTGTTTTAGGCTAAAAACCAGTTAAGTGTCGTTTTGAAGAGAAGGTGAAGATGGTGCACCTGCTGTTTTGTGAGCTTGCTGTAGATTACCTTTTACGGTCTCCTTGGTGTAGTTCTGGCGTAGTTTGATGTAGTTTGGCGCAGTTTCGTCTAGATGGCGTCCACAACAGCAATAATTATATTTATAACCAAAATCCAAATTAAAGCAAGGATTCAGGAGTAACACTGCTCTAAAGTTCCAGTTTAAGTAAAAGTTCCTTGTACCACAAAGCAACTTTCTAACTTAATAACAATAATAATGAATCTATTTGAATCTATTTTGAGGCATTAAGGAACAAGGAAGCGACGAGATCTATCCCAGCCTACCATTTCACCGAGGGCACTTGGCACCCGCACATACTTTATCAGATACGGGCTATAATGGTGCCGGCTTTCGATCCACTTTCGTCTACACGAATGCGGTGCCACAGCGACCAGCTTTTAATAGTGGTCAGTGGTCTCAGTATGAGAGAATGATACGTGACTATGCTACAGATTACTGCACTAAGGGTGATGGAACTTTGTATCTCCTCACTGGAACTTCATTTGTTAATTGGGATCCAGATACAGACAGGTATGACATCAATGATCCAAGTGGACAACCTAAACTGGCTAATGGAGATCTTCCTCAATTTCCATCTATAACAGTCCCCAGTTCTCTGTGGACGGCCGGCTGCTGTGTCAAAGATGGTGATGCCGTGGGGAATTTTGCAGTGTTTGGAAACAACAGGGTAGATCCGAAGGAGACGTTTACTCAACAAGTCTCCATGGGTAAATTGCATGAGGTAATTAAAGGGGATATAGCAAGTGGCAAGCCACAGAAGGTCAAATTGTTTCCAGCATTTCCGGGTTGCATGGATGATGCCAACAAAGTAACCCTCCGGCCTGAGCGGAGGAGAGAAGACTATGTGCACAGAACGAATTTAAGTGAAAAAAAAGTCTAGAAGAAAAACCATATGCGCACTTTAATCATTAATATTATTTCGAACAAGGTAATTTAGTGTTATCAACTGAGTGGATAACGTAAATTGGCCACCATAAGGAGTTTAAAAGCTGACCTTTCGAGCGTTAGCCCTTCGCTAGAGCCATTGGAGGATTTGTGGGTTGCTCTATTGGCGGGAATATAATATAGTAACGATCAAACCAGACTAAATGAGTTCAATGAAAAGCGCTCGTAGATACCGTAGGGATTAAGAGAGCCCATTTGAAAGATAAATTTTTGTTCTAGAGTTTTGCAGCTTTCCGAACTGCCTAGATGTTGGAAAAACCGCTAACTACCATATGCTGTTTTGAATAGTTAGGGAGATTAAAGTATCTAGCAACTGGTTTGGATGCATCTATGTTATTTTTTCTACGTCGCGAAGTCGAGTCGATTCGACAACATTTTCAACGACCCTTGGTAGTTACTAACGGAATATTTTCTAAGTGTCTTGTAAATCGACTTCCGGTGTGACGGATCGACTTTGACTGAGATGAGTCTGTCGATTCGAGTCGAATCGAGTCGATTCGACAACAACTTCAACCCCAATTAGTAGCTACTTGCGGAATATTTTCTAAGTGTCTTGCAAATCGACTTCAGGTATGACGAGTCGACTTTAACTGAGATGAGTCGTTCGACTGAAGTCGAATCGAGTCGATTCGACAACATCTCCAACAACCCTTGACAGTTAATAGTTAAGTGTCTCGCAAATTGACTTCCGGTATGCATTTCCATCTAATGAGAAATGGTTGAGGAGATATCTGGTATAATAAGACGCATTCACCGTGAATCGACTTCCGGTAAAAAAAAATCGGAGCGGTTTGGGTGTATTGGACAACCCTCAAAAAAGCTACAGAGAACTCCGGAAAATGGTCGGACATAGTACAATTTGGCAGAAAACGTGAGCTCTCTTACTCTATGTTCTATACTCTGATAGAGCACGCTGTTTCAACCAATAACAGCGCGCGTTATATCCCAACTTTATTATAAGTGCAACTCATGTAATATATGAAATCGGCGGAGATGTACGTGAAGTGCTCTGTTATCTTAATGGATCATTTGGGTCTCCGTATTTTTTCAATGTTATAAATGAAAGGACGAGCTTTGCATCGCCCGTGAGCGCATTTGAAAGTTCCGGGTCGGCTATCACTTTGTAATGAACATCTAACTAAAATGTTGCCTATGATTTTGACACGTTTGAATGAAATAAGCGGAGGTTGCGAAACGACAGTAACAGTCGTGGGGTTGGATCTATGTAAAAGGTTCAATGCAGCTCTGAACGCATGGAACTGTTCTGGAATTTCCCTTTTAGTTGCAACTTGCCGAGAGTACCTTCTATACTATGATGTCCGCTGCAATTTTAACAAGGTATCAGCTATAGTCAATTAAACTAACCCAATCTCCTAAAAAAAAGATTTTGAAATAATTTTACCTGTTTTAAACTGGGCTAAGTGTGGGAGTATAGTGCCTTTATAGTAAGATGTGAGAGTAGTCTAATCGGTCAAATGTGAAATTTGGTTGTGCACTTGAATGCAGTGATCCGTCTAGTTTCCGAATGAGTTAATCTGACGTCCAATACCACACCTAAATGTATCACAGAGGAAGCTAAATGTACTTCGACTAATTTAATTCTAATTTTTCAATAGGTAACTAGATAACACTCTTCAAAGGACTAAGAAAGAATATTTCGTGCTTTTGAAACATGGCATTCCAAACTCATCTAAGGAAACAAGCTCTTTTTTGGTAAAACAACAGCTACAGAAAAATTCGTTAGTTGTAGGCAAAAATCGGTTGTTAATTTTTAGTAAGTTTTGCGAGAAGTGAATTTCGTGTTTATCTGATTTGAATTCAGTTCTCCTTCACACGAGAGTGTCAAGTCTTTAAGAGGGTCAAGGCAAACGATATATACATGTATATCTATCCCATAATAATAACTCAGATTGATATCCGATTGAGATGGATTTAGGATGGCTTAATTTTCTGGATTAGAACTAGCATTCGTTCAATTGAATTAAAAATGCTATTTAGACCTTTATCATCTAAATTAACAAACCCTGGATACTTTGAACGCAGCTACACGGCGATTGGTTTGGTACCCAAATAAAAAACACCGAAAGAAGCACCCGTTAAGATATCATATGGTTTGAAACTGATATTTTAAAAGGTCTTTCAATATATTTCTTCAATAAACCCGGTATCTTCCTTTTTCAAACTTTTTTTTTTTAGGGAAAGATTGGATCGTTTGTTTTTCTCAAATAGTTTTGGTAGTGAAATTTGTCAAAGTGTATTGTCCATTCCTTAGGCTCTGACGAAACAATGTTTAAAATCTGAATATTCAATATACTTAAAATAAAAAAAACCTTTAAAACATCTTGAACATTTTAAAAATCTTGAAAATTCGGAGCTCTTTAAAAGGTCTTTAAAGGGGTAATCAATAGTTAAGAACTGGTTTCAGTTTGCACAAAAGGAATAAAAAGAGTTTTAATTCATGGGGGATCAAATCACTCAGGTGGCTTCACTTAGGCGATACCAGCTGTATTGAGACTTCTGCTGTGCTATTGGACAATCCATTCAACCTGTAAACTTCCATGAGGAAGTTGTACCCATAAGGAACATCTTACAGCCAGGTGTTTTCCATTCGTTTCTGGCAGTTGATGAAGATTCCCATCCTCGCCTGCTGACTGCGATGCTAAGATGGAGGAATTCCATGTGAAGATTTTACACGTCCTGATAATGTTCGGACTCCTAGCGGCCAATGTCGTAAATGGTGGCGCCTTACAAAGTAAACTAAAAAAGGGTAAGATGAGCAACTGCTCACGTTTTAAAACTGAAATCGTTTAAAAAAATTACTAGGCTAATTGAAATAATAGCAATCACAAAGCCTAGAATGAAGAGAGGCAAACCGCACCTTTAACCATATCGTTGACTGGCTGTTCTCGTCTTTTATCGCCGTGGAATTTATCACAACTTTTTTTTACAATTTTTCTCTTGTTACAAGATAAACAAAATATTTTAAATGTTACTAGAGGCTACTATTTCATGGAGAAAAATTCGCTCTGCCGAGTTATCAAATGTAGCTCATGGCTTAAAATAATCTCAGCGAAAATTCAAGGGCTCTTATGAACTACCCAGTAAATGAAATAAAGTTAAACACTGGCAACTGAGTATTGATTGAATTTCCTTAGATAGTGTCTGCATAAGAAACTTTTTGAGGCGAATACAACACTTGATTGAAATGAACTTTTTTTTGTCTGAAGAGAAATAGGTCAAGAAAATATATTAAAACTCTCCATCGGGTTCTTTGAGTACCAACATCTGGTTGAGAGATGGGGTCTTCACAAGATTGGTTTAATTTGGAATATCTCACGACTGACTGAGATTTTCTCTGCATACAGACGAGCCCGTAGGCGAGTGCATATACCAAGAAAATTTACATGCAAGTGACAACTGGGATGATCTATGAAATACCACAACAGAGTTGTGAGATAACTTATTTTCTCACATAGCCAAAACCAGAGTATCATGAGGGCAGTTTCATTTTAAATGTTTTTTTATGTTGTTGTTGTTTCCACCAGGTAACAGGCAAGATATCTCAGGGAACCGAAAAACTGTTTACGATGGCAATGCGGACGAATGCTATAGAAAAAACTTTGCAGGAAATTTACCGCCAGTAGGTTTGCGAGATCCAATGAGTTTCAAAATAAGATACATCTGTCAAAAAGATAACCGGTACGATGGAACCCACTATGGAACAATGTTCGACAAGCAATTTGGAATTCCGGTATACTCGGCTTACACTCTCACGGAAGATAAGGTAAACTTTAAAGAATGGCCACGCCCAGAATGGAGACAAACCCAAGGTATTTATTCAAACTTCCGATAGCAAGTTAATTTTGTTACATAGGACTTGTTTAAAACCTCATTGCTCTGAGCTAAAAACCAGTTCAGTGTTGTTTTGAGTAGATGGTGCACCTGCTGTTGTGTGTGCTTGCTGTAAATTGCCTTTTTCGGTTTCCTTGGCCTAGTTCTGGCGTAGTTTGATGTAGTTCCGTGAAGTTCGGTTTAGTTGGCGTCCACAACTGCAATATTTATATTCCTAACAATAATAATGGCTCTATTTGCCATAATTTAATTTCCTTTTTAAGGCATTGAGGAACAAGGAAGCGACGAGATCTATCCCAGCCTACCATTTCACCGAGGGCACTTGGCACCCGCACGTACTTTATCAGATACGGGCCATAGCGGTGCCGGCTTTCGATCCACTTTCGTCTACACAAATGCGGTGCCACAGCGACCAACTTTTAACAGTGGTCAGTGGTCTAAGTATGAGAGATTGATACGCGACTATGCAGTAAATCGTTGTACTAAGGGTGATGGAACTTTATATCTCTTAACTGGAAGTTCATTTATGCATTGGATTCCAAAGACAGACTATTTTAAGGTCAAAAATCCAAGAAAAGCACTTAAACTGGCTAATGAAGATCTTCCTCAAATCCCTGCCATAACAGTCCCCAGTTCTCTGTGGACTGCTGGCTGCTGTGTCAAAGGT